GGGAAGTCAAGGCAGGCAGATCACAAGATCAGGAGTTCGAGACCAGCCTGGCCAACATGGTGAAACACCATCTCTACCAAAAATATAAAAATTAGCCGGGCATGGCGGCACGTGCCTGTAGTCCCAGGTACTCCAGAGGCTGAGCTGGGAGAATCACTTGAACCTGGGAGGTAGAGGTTGCAGTGAGACCAGATTGTGCCATTGTACCTCAGCCTGGGCAACAGAGTAAGACTCCATCTCAAAAAGAATAAAGAAGCTCTTTAACCAGCTGTCACCAAGGGTTTCTCACTGGGTTTTCAACCACTGCAGTCCCTAGCAGCCTCACCATCCTGCTAGCTCCTTTCTTCTTCCTCTTCCCTTACTCCCCTTTCCTCTCCTCTCCCTCTTTCAAGAGCAAACAAACAAGTTTCTCCCACTGCAGAGCAGTTTAATCAGTCTGAGCTTGCTTGAGCTTCTACCAACACCCGTACTTTCAGAGTCTCTGTGTCTACACCAAGTGGCTTAGCAAAATATTTTACAAAACAAAAGTAATTTCTTCCCTAAGAGAGATTCTAGACTGGAGCCAACACTGTCAGGAATTTTCAAATCTATAACTTTACTAAACTCTAGGCCTTTCCACCTGTTATTCCCTTGCATGCCCCAGTATTTCCTCCCTTTCCTCTAGATAACTCCTACTCATCCTTTAGAACTCATCTTGTGATTCCCCTAAGAATCCTTCCCCCTGAAAGGATTTCTGTTTGTCCTGCAAAGGCCTTCGAGCAATATGTACTATAATACCAATCCAGGACCACTTAAATCCAAGTGCAAGTTTAGGGTAGATGCAAACTGGTGCCACAAGAGAGCTGGCTAACTTCTGACTCACCTGGAACATGAGAGGGTAAGCGTTTTAGGGTCCCAGCTTCTTGTGTAGATGATTTTTTTAGATCTTCACTTGGCTGATTTCCGTATCCCTCACCTTTCAAGGTCCTTAAAACAAAAATGTAAATTTGCCAGGATTGGCCGTGACTTAAGGGCAAAGGTGGCTTCCATGCTTGTTTACTTCACTGGGTTCCTATTTCTCCTCTTTGTAGCATTCATCCCTTTCTGTCTTGTCAAAAAACTAGTTTTTAAGATTTTTTTTTCTCCTCCCGTTATTTTTAGTTGTTTTCAATGAGAAGTTTGGCCCAAATAACCTAGACCGCCATTACTGGAAACCGAAAGTCATTAAATCCTTACTAATTAGGAAGCAGAACTTTTGCCAGATACATTTGTAGGTGTTTTTGTGAGGCTGTCTCCCTAACCAGAAGATTTCATTCCTTCACAGAAAGCAGTATAGGAAACAAATCCATCTCTTTGGCCTGACTTATTTATCCGATAGTATTCATTGGGTACTTCCTGTGTGCCAGGCGCTGGAATAAAGCATGGTTACAACAGTGAACCAATAGAGTCCCTGCCCTTCACTCCTTTGTTAAGAAAAAGCAGATAAAATCATCTGAGCTACCAGTTTCAAGATTAGATAAGCCCTACCAACCAATTTAGGAAACCCCCATATCTCCAGTCCTCTGCATACTACTGTTGTAAGGGGTGGAACTTGAAGACATGATGACCATTGAAGGTAACTTGAATAGGATAATGCTTCTAAAACTTTAGCATGCACAAGAATCACCCAGAGGGCTTCTTAAAACGTTATTGGGCCCCATCCCCAGAGATTCTGATTCTTAGGTCCCGAGATGGGGCCCGAGAATTGGCATTTCTAAGAAGCTCTTAGGAAATGCTTATGCTACTAGTCTAGGGACCATTCTTTGAGAACCATTGTTACAGTAGTTCTAGATAAAACTTAGGAGCAAGTAGCTCCTGTACAAGATTAGAAATATTCCTTTACAATACTCTCCATTTTTGAAAATCCAAAGTTAATCTATAGCCAAGACCATTTAATGAGGAAGAATGACTTTCAACAAATAGAGCTAGGACAACTGGATATCCACATGCAAAAGAATAAATGCATGAGATCCCTTATCTCATATTGTATGCAAAAATTAATTCCTCTTGAATCAAAGACCTAAGCATAAGGGCTAAACTGTAAAATACTTAGAAGAAAACATAGCAGCAAATCTTCATGGTCTTGGATTTGAAACTGTCTACTTAGATATGACTCCAAAAACATAAGCAAAACAAGGAAAACAGATCAAATGAACTTAATCAAGATTAAAAAACTTCTTTGCTTTCAAGGACACTATCAAGTATGTAAAAAGAAAATGCACAGAATAGGAGAAAATATTTGCCTGTTATACCTGTATCTAGATGCTTATATCTAGGATATATAAAGAACTTTTTTTTTGACAGTCTTGCTCTGTCTCCAGGTGCCAGGCTGGAGTTCAGTGGCGCGAGCTTGGCTCACGGCAACCTCCGCCTCCTGAGGTCGAGCAATTCTCCTGCCTCAGCCTCCCAAGCAGCTGGGACTACAGGCACGTGCCATCACGCCCAGCTAATTTTTGTGTTTTTTAGTAGAGATGGGATTTCACCATGTTGGCCAGGATGGTCTCGATCTCTTGACCTTGTGATCCACCCGCCTCAGTCTCCCAAAGTGCTGGGATTACAGGCGTGAGCCACTGTGCCCGGCCAAGAACTCTTATAACTCAAAAATAAGACAAATAATAACAAAGAAATGCAAGGGATCTGAATAGATATTTCTCCAATGAAGATATTGCCAATAGGAACATGAAAAAAAAATGCTCACCGTTATTAGTCATTGGGGAAATGCAAATCAAAGCTGTAATTAGGGGGCAGGCATGGTGGCTCACGCCTGTAATCGCAGCACTTTGGGAGGCCGAGTTGGGTGGATCACTTGAGGTCAGGAGATCGAGACCAGCCTGGCCAACATGGTGAAACCCCATCTTAAAAAAAAAAAAAGTGTAATTAGGTACCACTTCATGTCCACTAGAATGGCAATAATTTTTTTAAAAACATTTTGCAGAAAATAACAAGCATTGGGTAAAGATGTGGAGATACTGGAACCTTCATAAAATGCTAGAAGGAATCTAAAATGGAGCAGCTATTGTAGAAAACAGTTTGGCAGTTCCTCAACAAACAGAATTACCATATGATCCACTTCTAATTTAATTCCCCAAATAATGAAAAACAGATATTCAAACAAAAACTTGAACATGAATATTCATAGCAGCACTGTTCACAAGAGCTAAAAGGTCAAAATAACCCAAATATCCATCAACTGATGAATGGTGAAACAAAATGTGATATATCTATATGGTAGAATATTACATAGCCACTAAAAGGAAAGGCTGGGCACAGTGGCTCATGTGTGTAATCCCAGCACTTTGGGAGGCTGAGGCAAGGGCAGGGGGATCACCTGAGGTCAGGAGTTCGAGACCAGCCTGTCCAACATGGCGAAACCCTGTCTTTACTAAAAATACAAAAAATTAGCCAGGCATGGTGTCAGGCACCTGTAATCCCAGCTACTCAGGAGGCTGAGGCAGGAGAATCACTTGCAACCCACGAGGCAGAGGCTGCAGTGAGCCAAGATCACTCTATTGCACTCCAGCCTGGGCGACTGGAACAAAACTCCATCTCAAATACATACATACATACATAAATGGAATGAAGTATGGACACGTACTACAAAATGGATGAACCTTGAAAACATTATGCCAAGTCAAAGAAGCCCATCACAAAAGGCCACATATTTTATTATTCTATTTACAGGAAATGTCCAGAATAGGCAAATCTACAGAAAGTAGATTAGTATAATAGTTGCTGAGGGATAGGGTAAGGGTGGGGAATATAGGGGATGATGGCTTAAGAATACAGGGTTGTTTTGAAATGATGAAAATGTTGTAAAGTTGACTACGGGGATGCTTACACGTAACTAAATAAGCTTTAAAGCCATTGAGTTATACACTTTATTTTAAAATTAATTATAAATTTATAAAATAGAGACAGGGTCTTGCTATGTTGCCCAAGCTGGTCTTGAACTCCTGAGCTCAAGCAGTCCTCCTGCCTTGGCCTCCCAAGTGCTGGATTACAGGTATGAGCCACTGCACCTGGCCTGAATTTTACACTTTAAATGGATGAATTGTGTGGCATGTGAATGAAATCTCAATAAAGATGTTTATAAAAATAAACACATGACCAGGCGTGGTGGGCTCATGCCCGTAATCTCAACCACTTTGGGAGGCCAAGGGGGATGGATCACGAAGTCAGGGGTTCAAGACCAGCCTGGCCAACATGGTGAGACCCTGTGTCTACTAAAAATTCAAAAATTCCCCAGGTGTGGTGCACTCACCTGTAGTGAGAATTGCTTGAGCCCAGGAGGCAGAGGCTGCAGTGAGCCAGGATCATGCCACTGCACTCCAGGCTGAGCAACAGAGTAAGACCCTGTCTCAAAAAAAAATTTTTTTAAGCTAAAAAGATTAAAAAATAAACACACTACAATTCATGACCATAAAAAGGTTAACCTGTAAGTCCTCAGAAATTTAACCTCATTCTTCCAGCAGTTCCATGATGCCTAAATAACCAGTATCATACTCTACCTGACACTGAAAATTCTGTGTTCTGAAGATTTAATCTGAAAATACTTATGAAGCAGTAGGAATTTTATGCAATTGTGCATCCGTATGTTGCTGAAGCTGTTTAAAGTCTCTCTTTTTTAACAGGTATCAGGAATTAAGGGAATCACTTCAGCAATGTAGGCTTCCTTGGGGCGCTGAAAAAGAATATGGTGGGATAATACCGATTTCACTCCCTGAGGACCACAGGCCAAAGTGTGAGCCTCCTCGTGTCATGGGCAAAGGACATCAGCATTACGGATTTGGTGGAGAAACCTGGCCAAGGTAAATAAACTTTCTGCCATTCACATAAAGGTTTTTATTATCCATTTTTCATTATTTCTAGTGTGAGTCCTTTGCTTAAATCTGTCTTCAAACTTATTTCTTTTACTATTTATGAAAAGACAGAATTAAAAACTAATTTCTAATTGGGAAATAGTAAAAAGCCTGTGTTTATGAATGGTTTTTGCTGTCCTTAGTGATGTTCAAATATTGTGATCAGAAATTTTGATTCTATTAATTTCTTTACTTACCATATCTTATCTAAAACTAAATGGGAATGTTCCTGAGATAGAAAGAGAGAGAACAATTAAATTTTAAATATTTTTGTTTGAGCAAAGACCTGGCCTAATTTGTATTAGGTTGTTGGAACTTTTGATTTGTAATTTTTTTATCAGTCTTTTTAATAGTCACTAGAATCTGCTAGGCATCGTTTGCAAGTGTTAAAATCTTTCAATAATAGTTTATAATAGTTCATAAATCTTAGTCACTCAGCAGCTCTTCAAAACACATTAAAATTCAACAGAAACAAACAAACAAAATATCTGAGTAGTGAATGTCAAATTAAATATTTCCTAAAAGCCAAAGGCAGACATACATAAGTGGTGGGACTCACAGCACAGCCACGGAGACATGAAGCTCTGAAGGCTCCTCCCACTACGAGTCTGTGCTCGCCCTCACCCTTTGTCCTCCCCTACCCCACTAGCCTGACCTACAAGAATGTGATTAGGGGCTGCAGGGCCGCCTGGAGGGTCATTTTGAGCATTGAGCAGAAGACCTACACCTTGGACAAGAAGCTGCAGCTGATTAAGGACCATCTGAAGAAAGTGGAGGCCAAGCTGAGATCATCTGTACCGTATTCCTGGAATTGTTGAATAAATACTTAATAGCCAGTACAACTAATCCAGAGAGTAAGGTCTTCTTTCTGAAAATGAAGGGTGATTACTTCCGGTACCTTGCTGAAGTTGCATGTGGTGATGATCAAAAATAAACGATAGATAATTCCCAAGGAGCTTAGCAAGAGACATTTGATATGCGCAAGAAAGATGCAACCCCACACCCAATCCGCCTGGGGCTTCCTCATAACTTCTCTGTATTTTACTATGAGATTCTTAATAACCCAGAGCTTGCCTTCACGCTGGCTACAAAGGCTTTTGATGAGGCCATTGCTGAACTTGATACACTGAATGAAGACTCCTACAAAGACAGCACCCTCATCATGCAGTTGCTTAGAGACAACCTAACACTTTGGACATCAGACAGTGCAGGAGAAGAATGTGATGCAGCAGAAGGAGCTGAAAACTAAATCCATACAGGGTGTCATCCTTCTTTCCTTCAAGAAACCTTTTTACACATCTCCATTCCTTATTCCACTTGGATTTCCTATAGCAAAGAAGCCATTCATGTGTATGGAATCAACTGTTTATAGTCTTTTCACACTGCAGCTTTGGGAAAACTTCATTCCTTGATTTGTGTTTGTCTTGGCCTTCCTGGTGTACAGTTACTGCTGTAGAAAAGTATTAATAGCTTCATTTCATATAATTCTGGTATTTAAGTAATCTGAACCAGTTCAGCAAGGGACTGTGTTTTGTATTATGGTGAAGATATGAAAATGTAGTTAATTACACTTTGAAGAGTGTTCCACATAACTTCTTAATTTCTACATTCTCTCCCCTACTCTTCAGGGGTTTCCTTTAGATAAGCCGCTTTTCCATGCTCTTAATATATTCCTTTTTAGTAGGAATCTAGAAGTATTAGATTGAATGGAAAAGCACTTGCCATCTCTGGCTAGGAGTCACAAATTGAAATGCCTCCTATATCACATAAGGAGGTCATGTAAATCTGTGTCAACAGGGAGTTTCCTTATTCACTCTTTATTTGCTGCTGTTTAACCTTCATTCCCAATAAAAATTCACGTATACCTCCTGTCTTTGTAAGTTCTGATATTCACTTTACTGTGTAAATAGAAGTAGCATGTTGCTACCAGAATACAAGCATTGCTTTTGGCAAATTAAAGTACATGTCATTTCTTAATACACTAGAAAGGGGAAATAAATTAAAATACACAAGTCCAAGTTAAAACCTTAGTACTTTTTCATGCAGATTTATGCACATGTGAGAGGGTGTCCAGTTCGTCTAGTGATTGTTATTTAGAGAGTTGGACCACTATCGTGTGTTGCTAATCATCGACCGTAGTCCCAAAAAAGCCTTGTGAAAATGTTATGCCCTATGTAACAGCAGAGTAACATTAAAAAAATTACATTTTATAAACCAAAAAATAAATATTTCCTAAGGATTAAGACATTTACTGAGAGCAGAGTCTATCATACCTTGGCACAACCTGTCAGACCTTTGCACAGAGCCCACTTCCTCCTGCTTTATCTAACAATACTGATTATCTGGTTTATGAACACTCTAGTTAACTGGTTTTTTGTTCTAAAGCAGGTAAAAGAAATAAATTAGGAAAGACAAGCCACAGCTAGAGAGAGAAACATTAACAGCAGGGACATGTGCCACCAATGACCTTATCAAAGCTGCAGAAAAGCAGTAAAAACCAGATAAATAAAAAGGCCTGTTAGTCACAGGCCAATTAGATTCAGACATCAACACACATTATGGATAGTGAGAACCTCACATTCATTCATTCACTCAACAGATTTTTTTAAGCCCACACTCTCATGGAACTGTAAGGTCTTCGTGAAGCAGATATTGCCATTCTTGTTTTACAATGAATAAACCAACCCAAGAGATTCAGTACCTTTTCTTGGGTCAGACAATTATAAAGTTGTAGAATAGGGGTTTGGGTCCAGATTTATTGACTCTAACACCCAAGTTCTTTTCATCTGTTCATTTTGTTTATGCATCTGTTTATTCATTTATCTGCTCAGTAATTTAAATATAGGAAGCATCGTTCTAGAGACTGGGGAGATAGCTCTATATAAAGTTTACAGCTGTTGCCCTCCCAAAATTTAAATATTAAAAAGTGTGCAATATTTTATAAGAATTGGAAGTATTCATACAGATTTACAGTGTGTAAAAAGAAAGCCAAAGATTTTTTTTTTTTTTGAGATGGAGTCTTTCTCTGTCACCAGGCTAGAATGCAGTAGCACTGTCTAGGCTCACTGCAACCTCCACCTCCCGGGTTCAAGTGATTATCCTGCCTCAGCCTCCTGAGTAGCTGGGACTACCGTCGTGTGCCTACCATACCCAGCTGATTTTTGCATTTTTAGTAGAGACAGGGTTTCACCATTTGGCCAGGATGGTCTCGATCTTTTGACCTCGTGATCCACCTGCCTTGGCCTCTCAAAGTGCTGGTATTACAGGTGAGAGCCACCGAGCCTGACAAGACTTGTTTCTTAAGGGCAATCTTCTTCACAATGAGATTTGTGCGTGATCTCTTACAGAATGGGACAGGGAGAGAGAAAATACTTGTTCCACTTAGAATGCCAATTATATTTGGCATACCCCTTAATTTTCTATAGACCGGAAAGGTCTGTGTAGTAAAAAGGTATTTATCTCTGTTTCAGGAATTCCTTTGGTTTTACTTTTTCTTTTTCATTTATTAAATACTAATAAAATTAGTTTTTTTCATTTTATTTTAAAAATATCATTAACTGTGATCCTATTCTTGCAATTTTAGTTCTGATTACAGCCATCCATCTCATTATTATTACTTTCTTACATCTATTTTTAGGCAAAGATATCTAGAATCATGTTCTACAAGGTGGTATTTGGGTATATTTTTCTGTAATTACTCAAACTTTCATGAGGACGTGTCATTTCCATAAAAATAATTAAACAATCTCTTTTAAAACAACAGCATTTATCAAGTACTTCTATATGCCACACATTGTGCTAAGTGCTTTATAAAACATCTCATTTAAATTATTTGCTTTTTTTAAAGTTCATTTGTTCCATAAAACTACTTTTGTTCTTTTTAAACTTAAATTTTAAGTACGCAGTTATTTGTATGTGTTAGGATTTTTGTGTTGCAAACAGAATCCCCCATGGCTAGTTTAAGAACAGGATTATGAGAGGATGTCAGATTAGCTCATAAAACTGTGGGGTGCCTAGAGAAACAGGCTCATTGCTCAGCATCCAGGAATAGTGGCCAGACTCACTCCCAGGACTGGCCTTGTCAGGGAGGAAGTGCTTCTTAACTGGACACCTCTACTGCCACCTTACTGGCAGTTTGCATGCCCCTCATGAAGCTGGTGTTCTCAGGCTCCTCACAGTCAAATCAAAGTCTAGCAGAACTTAGGGCACATTTGCACCCTGGCTGCTAGGAAGGCTGGAAAATGGCGTGTTCCAAATGTGGGAAACTAGCAAAATGTAGAGAGGGTGTTGTAAAGATGATGGTCATGAGTGCCATTGGACTGTCACTCTCAACAACAGCAGCAACAATGACATGCTTTTCTATTTGACACGAGGTTCCTGGGCCAGCAGCATCAGCGTCACCTAGGAAATGGTGAGTGCTACATCTCAGCCTCCACCCCAGATTTACTGAAACAGAATCTGCATTTTAACAAACTACTTCAGGTAATTCCAACATGCAGCAAAGTTGGAGAACCATTGCTACAGTGTAAGAAATTGCAACAATTTTCATTCAAATGAAAATAAATGGCCGGGCACAGTGGCTCATGCCTGTAATCCTAGCACTTTGGGAGGCTGAGGTGGGTGGATCACCTGAGGTCAGGAGTTCAAGACCAGCCTGGCCATCATGGTGAAACCCCATCTTTGTTTAAAAAAAAAAAGAAAAGAAAGAAAAGAAAAGAAAAAGGAATGAAAAAGAATGACAAAACCCCTGAGAAATATAGGATTATGTGAAGAGGCCAAATCTACAAATCACTGGCATCCCTGAAAGNAAAAAAAAAAAAAAAAAGAAAATACACTTACCTCCCCAAAAGCAGAGACCCAAAGAAAGCAGTTTCCAACTTTGCTGCATCCAACTCCAAGCACTCGCTCCTGTCTAGTTCAGTTGTAATCTTGTCCCAATATTCTGTACCTATGCTCTTTAATGAAGTTAACCATCACCAATGTATCCTATATGAAATAATAAGGAAAATGGAGAGAAAAAAAGAAAATATATAAAAATATGTAAGACACAGCAAGGCAGAAAATATGAGAAGTGACTGTAGTCTCATTCCTGCACCTGGTCATGAGGCTATCATTGGTGTTATAATTTCCTTCCCCCAGAAAAGAAGTCATTATATGAAAAAGACATTTGTACACACGTTTATAGCAGCATAATATGCAACTGCAAAAATATGGAACCAGCCCAAGTGCCCATCAGCCAACGAGTGGATGGAGCAAATGTGGCATAGATATACCATGACTCAGCCATAAAAAGAAATGAAATAATGGCATTCACAGCAACCTGGATGGAGTTGGAAACCATTATTCTACGTGAAGTAACTCAGGAATGGAAAACCAGATATTATATGTTCTCACCTATAAGTTGGAGCCAAGCTATGAGGATGCAAAGGCTTAAGAATGATACAATGGACTCTGGGGACTCAGGGAAAAAGGGTCGGAAAGGGGTGAAGGATAAAAGACTACACACTGGGTACAGTGTACACTGCTTGGGTGATTATTACACCAAAATCTCAGAAATCACCACTATAGAAGTTACTCATGTAACAAAACACCACCTGTTCCCCAAAAACTATTGAAATTAAAAAATGCTTTTATAAATAATAATAATAATTTCCTTCCTCCACTACATGTTCCAAGTTCCCTTGCCCTCAGCCAATATCTGAGCTGGTGGGAGTACACTACTTGATAGAACAATGCAAAATTATGTTTTGAGAGATCTTAGCTCTTTGTGGTTCTGCCTGTATAACGCTGCTATAGTATTTCATTAACTTCATGCTACTGAAGACAATACTAGGTGTTAAAAGGTTCCCCAGGTTCCAGAAATATTCCTTTCCCCCATCATTGTATAATATCCTCTGACCCTTGATATTCAGGATCAGTCATCCTAGCCCAAAATTACCACATCATCATCAGTTCAGCTTCCAATGCAATTGGGTCCATTGTTTTATCCCCTGTTGGAAGCGCTTCTCCCTTGACCTCTAAACCACCAAAGCTCAAGTTGGCTGGGGAGGGAGTAACATTTTCTCAAGTGGAACCATAAGTATAACAGTAAGAAGCACCACTCCCACTTCCACCCTTTGGTTTTCAGACTATGCATTCTGGCTAAGGGGGAACCTATTTATTGGTCACTGGTTCAGGGCATGTCCCACACTCTTTAGGACAACACTCAGCCATAATTGAATATTCAGTAGGCCATTCTAATGCTCCATTAAATATGAGAAAATATAACATTCTATAAATATGGTGAATCATTTTAATTCAAGCAACCATTGCTCAATGTCTTTTGTAGTAAATTGAGTTCCTTAGTCAAAAGTAATGTTTAAAATGGCATGGCAACGAATGAGACATTTAGTAAGTTTACTGTTGATGTTACTGGCAGAAGCATGGTGAAAAGGGAAGGGAAATCCCTATTTTGAAGAAGTGTGATGGAAGGGGTTTGATGTAATCATCCTATCACCAGATGGCTGACTAGTGCATCCAGGGATAGGTCACCCTATCAAGTGCTTAGGATTGACCAATTCTGCTGGCAAACTCAAATGTGCCAATAGACAGATGAGTCTTAGTCAGGGAAGCTCATGTCGCTGAATACATATGTGATCATTTCTGTGCTGCTGCCATGATCACTTCGTTACGAAGTCACTGAACAAGGACCGGGTGACTGGGAAAAACCTGACATGCATAGAGCTAGTCATTATGTCTACCTGATTATTGAGAACATCCACAATGCTGGGGTTCTCCAGGTGAGCATTCCTGTGAGGTACAAATAAACCTCACACTCCAGGGCTATTTGGAGGCTGGAAAAAGCAAGTTTCTTGGAATCCACATTGGGTAGATGAGATTCACAGTACACGCACTATAAAAATGTAGGCTGGGGTGAGGCGCAGTGGCCTACAGCAGTAATCTCAGCACTCTGGGAGGCCTAGGCGGGTGAATCACCTGAGGTCAGGAGTTCTAGACCAACCTGGCCAACATGGTGAAACCCCGTCTTTACCAAAAATACAAAAAAATTAGCCGGGCATGGTGGTGGGCACTTGTAATCCCAGCTGCTCATGAGGCTGAGGCGGGAGGATTGTTTGAACCTGGGAGGCAGAGGTTACAATGAGCCGAGATTGCTCCACTGGACTCCAGCCTGGACGACAGAACGAGACTCCATATATATATAGAGAGAGATAGATAGATAGATTCCATGTTCAAAAGATATTGGGCAGCCACAAGTCACAGGTGAGCACAGCATACATAAAAAGGTTACAGATGCCAGGCGCAGTGGCTCACGCTTGTAATCCCAGCACTTTGAGAGGCCGAGGCAGGCGGATCACGAGATCAAGAGATCAAGACCATCCTGGCCAACATGGTGAAACCCCACCTCTACTAAAAAATACAAAAACTAGCTGGGCGTGGTGGCGCGTGCCTGTAGTTCCAGCTACTTGGGATGCTGAGGCAAGAGCATTGCTTGAACCTAGGAGGCGGAGGTTGCTGTGAGCCGAGCTCGCGCCACCGCACTCCAGTCTGGCGCCTGGCAACAGACCAAAACTCTGTCTCAAAAAAAAGAAAAAAAAAAGGTTACAGATGAGGTTCATTTTGATTTGACCATTACCCCACAGTCTGACTCTCCTTCCTAGAAGGAACCACTGTCACCACTTTGGTGTCTCCTTCTATGCCTTCTGTTATGCACTTACACTATCACACATGCACCCATTGAAAATGTACGGTGTTGGCCGGGCGCGGTGGCTGAAGCCTGTAATCCCAGCACTTTGGGAGGCGGAGGCGGGTGGATCACGAGGTTAAGACATTGAGACCATCCTGGTCAACATGGTGAAACCCCGTCTCTACTAAAAATACAAAACATTAGCTGGGCATGGTGGTGCGTGCCTGTAATCCCAGCTACTCAGGAGGCTGAGGCAGGAGAATTGCCTGAACCCAGGAGGCGGAGGTTGCGGTGAGCCTAGATCGCGCCATTGCACTCCAGCCTGGGTAACATGAGTGAAACTCCGTCTCAAAAAAAAAAAAAAAAATGTACGGTGTTGGCCGGGTGCGGTGGCTGAAGCCTGTAATCCCAGCACTTTGGGAGGCGGAGGCGGGTGGATCACGAGGTTAAGACATTGAGACCATCCTGGTCAACATGGTGAAACCCCGTCTCTACTAAAAATACAAAACATTAGCTGGGCATGGTGGTGCGTGCCTGTAATCCCAGCTACTCAGGAGGCTGAGGCAGGAGAATTGCCTGAACCCAGGAGGCGGAGGTTGCGGTGAGCCTAGATCGCGCCATTGCACTCCAGCCTGGGTAACATGAGTGAAACTCCGTTTTCAAAAAAAAAAAAAAAAATGTACGGTGTTGGCCGGGTGCGGTGGCTGAAGCCTGTAATCCCAGCACTTTGGGAGGCGGAGGCGGGTGGATCACGAGGTTAAGACATTGAGACCATCCTGGTCAACATGGTGAAACCCCGTCTCTACTAAAAATACAAAACATTAGCTGGGCATGGTGGTGCGTGCCTGTAATCCCAGCACTTTGGGAGGCTGAGGCAGGCAGATCACGAGGTCAGGAGATTGAGACCATCCTGGCTAACCCGTCTCTACTAAAATGCAAAAAATTAGCTGGGCGTGGTGGCTCACACCGTAATCCCAGCACTTTGGCAGACTGAGGCAGGCAGATCACCTGCAGTCAGGAGTTTGAGACCAGCCTGGTCAACATGGTGAAATCTCATCTCTACAAAAATACAAAAATTAGCCAGGCATGATAGCGGGTGCCTGTAATCCCAGCTATTCAGGAGCCTGCGGCAGGAGAATCGCTTGAACCTAGGAGGCAGAGGTTGCAGTGAGCTTAGATTGTGCCATTGCACTCCAGCCTGGGCGAATGAGCAAGACACTGTCTGTAAATAAATAAATAAATAAATAGGCAAATCCTAAGTGAGTTACAGTATAGGAATTTTTTTTTTTTTTAAATCTTAGTGCATGTGGCCCAAATGATGTATATTAGTCTCATGGTAGTGACTAAAAGTATTCATTTCCTCACACTCTCGGCCATCTATGTTATGAAAATGTGTAACTGTTGCCCATCTAATGAGTCTGAAGGGTATCGTGGTTATGAGAATGCATTTCTCTGCTTATTGCGTTGAGTACTTTTCTTCTCTTTTATGTAAGGCCATTCACATTTCCTTTTCTATGTTTATTCTTTGCCCATTTTTATCGTTTGTATCTTATAGATTCTTGTTGATTCTCTGTGTTCTGAAAACAATTCTTTATGTGTTATCTTTATTTATATTTGCAAGTATTTCTTCTAATTTTTATTTTATTTGAACTTTTATGATGTCTTTGTCTTATAATTAAATTTGGGTATTTTCATGTTTTATTTTTAATTTTTTTAAATTTTTTTTTTTTGAGACGGAGTTTCATTCTGTTGCCCAGGTTGGAGTGCAGTGGCATAATCTCAGCTCACTGCAACATCTGCTTCCCAGGTTCAAGTGATTCTCATGCCTCAGCCTCCCGAGTAGCTAGGATTACAGACAGGTGCCACCATGCCCAGCAAATTTTTTCTATTTTTAGTAAAGGTGGGGTTTCACCATCTTGGCTAGGCTGGTCTTCAACTCCTGGCCTCAAGTGATCTGCCCACCTCGGCCTCCCACAGTGCTAAGATTACAGGCATGAGCCATCGTGCCCAGCCTTATAATTAAATTTTATGATCAAATTTTCTTTCAGGCTTTTGACTTTTAAAAGAAAATTATTGTTTTGAAGGTCCTTCCTACCACCAAAGACAAAAACATACTCCTATACATTTTCTTTCAATTTTTATATAGATTTTTCCCCAAATTCTTTAGATTTTTAAGTCCATCTGAAATTATCTTTCTGAATACTGTAAATAGAGATGGATTATTTTTCAAATGAATACTGAATTTTTTCTTTTTTTTTTTTGAGACAGAGTCTCACTTTTGTCTCCAGGCTGGAAAGCGCAATGGCACGATCTGGACTCACTGCAACCTCCTCCTCCCAGGGTTCAAGCGATTCTCCTGCCTCAGCCTTTCAAGTAGCTGGGATTACAGCTGCCCACCACCATGCTTGACTAATTTTTGTATTTTTTAGTAGAGGCAGGGTTTCACCATGTTGGCAAGGCTGGTCTTGAACACCTGACCTTAGGTGATCCGCCCACCTCAGCCTCCCAAAGTGCTGGGATTACAGACCTGAGCCACCATGCCGAGTCCTGAATTTTTTCTTTTTTTCTTTTTTTTTTTTTGAGACGGAGTTTCACTCTTGTTACCCAGGCTGGAGTGCAATGGCGCGATCTCGGCTCACCGCAACCTCCGCCTCCTGGGTTCAGGCAATTCTCCTGCCTCAGCCTCCTGAGTAGCTGGGACTACAGGCACGCGCCACCATGCCCAGCTGAATTTTTGTATTTTTAGTAGAGACGGGGTTTCACCACATTGACCAGGATGGTCTCGATCTCTTGACCTTGTGATCCACCCGCCTCGGCCTCCCAAAGTGCTGGGATTACAGGCTTGAGCCACCACGCCCGGCCTGAGTCCTGAATTTTTTCTATGTTAAAAAGTACATCCTGGGCCGGGCGCGGTGGCTCACGCCTGTAATCCCAGCACTTTGGGAGGCCGAGGCGGGTGGATCACGAGGTCAAGAGATCGAGACCATCCTGGTCAACATGGTGAAACTCCGTCTCTACTAAAAATACAAAAAAATCAGCTGGGCATGGTGGCACGTGCCTGTAATCCCAGCTACTCAGGAGGCTGAGGCAGGAGAATTGCCTGAACCCAGGAGGCGGAGGCTGCGGTGAGCCGATATCGCGCCATTGCACTCCAGCCTGGGTAACATGAGTGAAACTCTGTCTCAAAAATAAAATAAAATAAAATAAAAATAATGAATGAAATAAAATGACATCTTTTCATATATTGAATTTCTACATATACATGGATATATTATTAATCTGTTTGTCTTTTACTCTCACCATTATACTATGTTAATTTTAAAACATGTTTAATTTAATCTTTTCTTTCTTTTCAGAAAGCTTCCTGTTGAACAATTTTATTATTTGACCCAGAACAAAAAAAGTGATGTCTATGGAAATGATTCTTTGTAAGTCTGAGGTTTTTTTTTCTTACATAGAATCAAATAACATTTTAAGTGGAAATGAGTTATATGAGACATTTTTAAAGCCCCAAATGGGGACTTTTAGAGAAACAAATTACTCCTTTTTTAAAATAGAGACAATTAATACCAAAAACCAAGACCAAACAAACAAAAGCAAATAAATAACAAACCAGTAGTTTTTAGTGTTTAAAGAAATCAAGAGGAAAAACAGGAGCTGATGAATAGTAAAATTCAAAGGGATTCCTAAAGGTTATCTTGGTCCATTTCCCTGCCTTTGACCTACTTACCCAATCCAGTAAGAATCTGCTACATTTCTTAAAATATCAATATAAAATGCCATGGTGGCCCTCAACAAATTTTCAACAAGAATTTAACTAGTATATAGGTTTTTATTCTCATCAACAAATAACTCTTAATAAAATTACTTCCTAAGTATTTTTTTACACGAGGCATACTTGTTAATTTACTCATCACTTAAAGGTATTCTTTTCAAGTGTAGTATTTTTATACTTTTAAGGAGTTTTTCATGTACATTACAAAAGCATACATTTTTATTTTTAGAGAAAAATAAAACACAGCCAGGCATAGTGGCTCATGCCTGTAATCCCAGCACTTTGGGAGGCTGAGGCTGGTGGATCACCTGAGGTCAGGAGTTTAAGAGCAGCCTGGCCAACATGGTGAAACCCCATCTCTTTTAAAAAAACAAAAATTATCCAGGCATAGTGGTGGACACCTGTAATCCCAGCTACTCGGGAGGCTGAGGCAGGAGAATCACTTGAACCCAAGAGGCGGAGGTTGCAGGGAGCCAAGATCGAGCCATTGCACTCCATTCTGGGTGACAAGAGCGAAACTCTGTCTCAAAAAATAAATACAGCAGCATTGAAGTAATAATGAAACAATCCCTTCTTTATTAAGAAGTGCCAGTTGTTGATAGGTAAAAATTTAATATAGAAGTTAGCCACTAGATGGCGCCAAAAAGGCAAAATTTGTGGTTGTCTGGGTTTATCCTGGGATTTTTGGTGAATTTTGCAAAGCAGATGTGATGGGTGGCAGTAAAATTAATGAACTGATTTAAGTCAAGGAAGAGGTGTCTCAGCATTTGTTACTTTTATCTTTTCAAATCTTGAAGTTTTAAAAATGTTATATTTTAAATTTCTTTTTTTTTCATTTTGAATCAAATCAATTTTAGGCAAATGCTTGTCAATATTGTAGTAGAATTTGTCACATGAGAATAATTTTAGATACTAGCTTAATGTATTATACATAGTTGCCAATCTATTAATAACAACTCTAGATTCTTTGGATTCATATATTCATCACTTCCCTGCTCCCTGTGCCCCTACCATCTCTCCCACTCAGTGATGTCGATGTAAGACAGAACATGCTTTTTTCAGTTTCATTCCCACAGATTTAGAGGAGAAATTTAAAAAGATATAAACTTTTATAGTTCACGGGAATCACGTGTTTATAATACATTACAGGATAGTAAATTTATATGGCTTACCTGCCACTTTCTAGGGAATATCTGCTAGCATGGAGGAACATCTAAAAAATTAAACAGTGTATTCAATTTTACTGACTTTTACTATCAAACTGATACCATTCTGTTCATTTTTCATGCCTGAAATCTTCCAGAATTTTTATTTGCACAGGCTGAAATGAATTGTTGAAATCCAATGTAGATGGATGATTACCGGTTTTAGTCGACTTTTTTTTGCAGGGCTACAGGATTATTTCTTGGCAAGGTTTGGAGTAATTAGTAAATGCAAAGCCTTGGAATGAACTGCTTCAGAAAAGGCATGCTTCCAGGATCTTGGTCAGTTTTGTTCTATCCTGTCTCTGCCAACTAGGCAACATTTACTATCATGAGAGATCAGCAACCCTGAGCAAAGGTAGAAAGCACACATGGTAGTTATGTATCCTCTCCAGCCAGGCCACACTCAGGTCACTTTAGGCCATGGAATTGCACCACATGTATAATGTCAGGTTTCCTCAGAGTACTTTGGCTACTGCCTGATTATGAGAGTAAAGGTCAGAAAGAACCAGAGCTCTCTTATCATTAGAAGTGGTCATCCCTTGTACCTTCACTGCAAATGGAAAATGCAGAAGCAGTGGTGAGCATGACTGAGGTTAGAATAAATGGAAGGAAAAATTAATCCACCGACAACCGAGACATGGAAACAACATATCTCTGTCATGTCAGTATTCAGGGATCCAGAAAGTTAATCAAGAATATTATCTTAATGACACTACAGTTTGAAATGGAATATATCTTTATTTATTTTATTTTATTTTATTTTTTTGAGACAGACTCTTTCTCTGTTGCCCAGGCTGGCGTGCAGTGGCAAGATCTCTGCTCACTGCAATCTCCGCCTCCTAGGTAATCCTGAGTAGCTGGGATTATAGGCATGCACCACCACACCTAGCTAATTTTTTTTTTTTTTTTTTTATTTATGGTACTTCTTGTATTTTTTTTTTTTTTGTATTTGGTATATTGGCCAGGCTGGTCTCTAATGCCTGAGTTCAAGCGATCTGCCCCCCTTGACCTCCCAAAGTGCTGGGATTGCATGCGTGAGCCACCATGCCTGGCCTATATCATTAATCGAATTTCTAATAGGAATATAAACTTTTAAAAATCTTTAATATAGAACTTGTTTCCTGTTTTTATTCTAGGATACCCAAGCCGCCTAATTCAACAGTAGGGTAAGTAAACATAAATTTTCCTTCTCTGTTATAACCAAGAAAAAAAAAATTGGCATTTCCTATGTCTTAGAAGTGTGAACACAAGTGAGATGTTACATGAAAACTTTTTTTTTTTTTTGAGATGGAGTCTCACTTTGTCACCCAGGCTGGAGTGCACTGGCGTGATCACAGCTCACTGCAGCCTTGACTTCCCTGGGTTCAGATGATCCTCCCACCTTCACCTGTCAACTACCTGGGACTACAGATGTGCGCCACTATGCCTGGCTAATTTTTGTAATTTTTTTGTAGAGATTGGTTATTGCTGTGTTGCCCAGGCTGGTCTCAAACCCCTGGGCTCAAGTGATCCGCCCACCTCAGCCTCCCAAAGTACTGGGATAACAGGCATGAGCCACAGTGCCCGGCCTGAAAACTATGTTTTAACAGTGGGAAGGAAAGGCTGGTGCAAGTCTAATGTAACATTACTTTGATTTCTCTCCCATTATATCTTCAGCAAATCTTTTTTAATAAATATTTTATTTTCGTATGATTTTAGGTTTATAGAATTATTGAGAAGATAGTGTGGAGAGTTCCCATAAACATCACATGCAATTTCCCCTGTTGTTAGCATCTCACATTAATATGGCACATGTGTCACAATTAATGAACCACTGCTGATGCCTTACTATGACCCCAAGTCCATGCTTTATCCAGATTTCCTCAATTTCTCCCTCATGTCCTTTTTCTGTCCCAGGATCCCATCCAGAGTACCGCATTACATTTGGTAGTCATCTCCCCTTAGGTTCCTCTTGGCTGTGACAGTTTCTCAGACTTTCCTTGTTTTAATGACCTTGACAATTTTTAGGATTATTGGTCAGATATTTTGTAGAACGCCCCCAAATTGGACTTTGACTGATGTTTTCCTTATGGTTAGATGGGGGTGATGTATTTGGGGCCACAGAGATAAAGTGCTGTTTTCATCGCTTCATAGCAAGGGTACATGAATAACATTTCTCTATCCCATGGACTTCCTAATTTTGCTTTTCTTCTAGTTTAGACAGCTCCCACATTGAGACTGTCTAGAAAAAATAAAATTTTTTTAACCTCTGCCAATTCTCCAAATGACAGGAAAATTATATCCCTATGGTCTCTTTATCATGTTTATTTTTTTCCTTCAGTGTGCTGGCTGTTTTTGGCTTTTTGGTTTTGAAGCAGTACTTGTTTTGTTGATTTATTGCTTAAAGAAACAGATGCCTGGGTTGAAAAGTTTATTACAAGACGGTTAGAGATCACTTTGCTGAAGCAGAATGCCCAAAACAATTCCTGGGATCATCTTAAAATTAGACACAGTAATTAAAAGCAACTAGAAATTCTTCCTGTACCATTCTAAAAACACAAAACTCATTTATTTTCTGCTTTATATTTTTATACTATTTATGAAACTTGTTCACTGATAAAGAATTGGGCATAATTTATTTTAAAATTAAATTTAGTTTTATCTAGCAAAATTAAGAAAATGTCCTATTTTATGGTACACATTCCAAGACCCATGAACACAGGGACATTGGCTCAGTGTCCTGTCCCCCAGGATTAGAACAGTTTCTGACATTTAAAAAAGTGTCCCAATAAATATTTGGTGATTAATTATTTCAATCATATTTCTTTCTGTTCTTTTCATTTTGTTTTGTTTCCTCAATAAATCTCAGAGAGACCTGCTTGCCATATCCAATTGAACACCCCTACCACACACACACCTGTCGTGGCGCCATGTTCCCTACCTTCACGTCGCCTGAGGACCTCTACACCGGCATTAAAGCCCGCACCCAGCAGCCCTTTCCTCCCACCGTGCCAACCAAGGCTTATGATTCAACAGTTTTGAAGACAAGAGGTAAAATGTCATTTGGAATCAGAACTGTATTAATTCTTATTATTGGGCTTTCTTCAATAATAAAATTAAAGCAAGAAACACAAAGGACTCAAGTCACAAACGTGTGACTCAGTAGATCAGGCAACTTGTTCTCAGCTTCGACTTTATAATCAGCTGGAGCACCACCAACCCATCCCATCAGACTTTCTGCAGGTGCTCCCGAACTTTCCCCTCGACACAACCTCCCACGATAGAATCAGAAACCAAAACTTTGGTGACTTTTATTCCACTAATATTTTCTATTTTTATTTCTTTCCTGCTCTCATGGGTTTTGCTTTTGAAAATTTCCTCCTAGCCCAGGTGATCAGCACAAGAGATAGTGTTTGTTTCAGTCATAGAGTCTGGACGTGGGTACAGCAGCAGTGATAGAATGGAAAGATCTTATTGATGTTATTGAAATAAGATGCAGAAAGCAATGGAAGTAGTTTGTTCAGTTCTTCTTAACACCCTGGAGCACATTCTCCCAGCTGCACACCTTTGAGTCTTTGTGAATGTGTTTTATCAGAGAGGACGGTAATCCCACACATTAGTCATCAAATCTCTCCCACACTAGACACCTCAGTCTTTGCTGAGGAGACCTTCACATGTGTATAAACAGACCACCTCTGAAGAAAGAGTGAAAACACTCGAGAGAGGGACGGAAAAGGTACATGGTAGGCAAAGGTAAATATTTGTTGAGTGCATTTAGGTGAGGTAGGAAAGACTCAAGAATTGTTCTGTCACACAGTTCCTTTATGCATGAATATTTGGATCAAAATGCAACAAGAATATATTGCCATCATCAGCCTCAACCTCAGTGTCTTATTGGCAGACAGTAATGTTTTGAGAGCTAGTATAGTGGAACGTGTAAAAGCATGGATCCTGGAGTCAGACTGCACGAGTAGAATTCTGGATCTGCTACTTACTCACCTGTGGTCCATGGGAGAGTTTCTGAACTTCTCTATTCTGCTTTCCCATGTGCAAAATGGGGATACTATGAATAGTTCCCACTTAACAAATAACAGATATAAACGTTAGCAGTTATTCTCTTACCCTGCTAGCATATAATGACTGCAGTATATGTGCACCATGCTGAACTTTCCCATTGCCTCTCAAAACAGGCAGCACTGGAAAAAGGCAGTGAAAGCTGTGTCAAGTATAGTGACTGTTACTGTTGAGCACTGTGCTTAGTTATATAGCAGTAGTGGGGAGAGATGGTGCCATGCAAAAGAACGATGAATGTTCTAAAGGAAATGATAAATATGAGACCTAAACAAGTAAAATTTTTATGACTTTGTTAGGTAAATTGTCAAAGTAACACTGTATTTCTTTTTCTCAATCCTGAATTCAGTAATTTCTGAAATTATATGAAATACATATAGTTAGCAAGAAATCATATAAATGTGTATTGAATTCATAACAACTCTTTATTTTATTTTTTTTGAGAGATGGAATCTCGCTCTGTTGCCCAGGCTGGAGTACAATGGCACAATCTTGGCTCACTGCAACCTCCGCCTCCTGAGTTCAAGCAATTCTCCTGCCTCAGCCTCCTGAGTAGCTGGGATTACAGGTGTGCGCCACCACACCTGGCTAATTTTTGTATTTTTGGTAGAGACGGGGTTTCATCATGTTGGTCAGGCTGATCTCAAACTCCTGACCTTGTGATCTGCCCACCTCAGCCTCCCAAAGTGCTGGGATTACAGGTGTGAGCCACCATGCCAGGCCTACA